AAACCCTAAACTCTAAACCCTGAGATATACTCTGATATAGTTCAACCTCCTTTTGAAATGAATGAAGTCCCGTACCCGTCTAACGACCCTGACCCTAAACCCTAAACCCTGAGGGCTGAAGAACCGCTTTTAAAGGAGCCTTGAAGGAAGCGGCTCTAATGATCAAGGCCCGAACCACAATCTAAACTTTAGCACCTAAAGCGCTATAGACCCCCCAAAGCGCAAAGACCAAAACTCTACAGAACTACATCCTAAGCCCCTAGACCCTACCCATAGGCCCCATAGCAGATTACCCAATAGGATCCTAAACCCTAAACCCTAAACCCTAAACCCTAAACCCAATAGGATCCTAAATATGAGCCCCCAACAAAAAGGAACTACTATGGGGCCTATGGGTAGACCGTAGAACTCAAAGACTGAACGCCTCAAGAGTCTAGGCCTAAGGGGTCTAGGGTTTAGGGTTTAGGGTTTAGGGTTTAGGGTTTAGGGTTTAGGGATTAGGGTTTAGGGTTTAGGGTTTATAAGAAGAAGACCAGGACAGGCCTTGCATTTGCCGTCCTCGAAGTTGCAAAGTTTCTCATTTTTGCACTCGCCTTCCTTGAACTTCGCACATTCCTCGGGAAGATTTCGTTCCGCTCTCGGGCTTAGGGCTCAGCGTTAGGGGTTTTTGGTCGGGTTGCACCTTGCAGGATTTGGGAGCTTTGACGGCTGGGGTGGCCTGGGAGGTTTGGGGTGGGATATCTAGAGGTACCTCCATGTTCCATCCCTCAATCAGCACTAAGTGAGCTCTAAAACCTGAACTCCACTACGGGGCTTCAGTGTCTGGGGTTTAGGGGTTTGGGGGTTTAGGGGTTTAGGGTTTAGGGTTTAAGGCGTCCTTTAAGGGTCCCCTTAAGGCTTCCTTTAAGGGTGCCGTTAAGGCTTCCTTTAAGGGTCCCCTAACCCTAAACCCTAAGCCCTAAACCCTAGGTAGGACAACTCTTGGCCTCGAGATGCGAGAATATCCTAAACCCTAAACCCTAAACCCTAACCCTAAACCCTAAGCCCTAAGCCCTAAACCCTAAACCCTAAACCCTAAACCCTAAAGCCAGGCAGCCCGAGCATTGCCAAGCAGCCTTGTCTGCCACGCTGAGCTCGATGTGGTGGAAGTCTTTGGCATCTGCAGCCAAAACGAGCATGTACCATAACAACGACAAAACTGCAATAGAAAATTAACTATGTCGGGAATATCTAGGAAATTCCTGGGAAACGCTTATATATAGTTCAAAACGTGATCCTTTCGGAAATACAGGGTTGCGGAGTTTGAAGGTTGGGTGCTGGACGGCTCCCATCTTGTCTGTTTCTTTTGGGGTTGAGGGTTTAGAGTTTAGGCTTGAGAGTTTAGTGTTGATTTTTTTCTGGTTTAGGGTTTTTCATCTAGGGTATTGCGCTAAACCGAACTGACTCGCTCCAGAACGGTTTAGCTGGCAGACATCAACAGCACACGTGATGCCAGGGTGAGCGCTAGAATACCAAAACCAGACGATAGCTCCCTATTAGGGTTTAGGCTTAGGGTTTAGGGTTTTAGCCCCTAAACCCAAACCCTAAACCAGGCCAACAGCCCTCAAAACCGAACCCCAAATCCGAAACCCTAAACCCTAAACCCTATAGACCCTATTCCCGAAGCCCAAAATCCCCAAGCCCGAAACACACAGAGTCTGACACGTGACCGCAAGATTTGATACCCCCTTGACCCAGGGTTTTAGGGGTTTAGGGTTTAGGGGTCCCTATCTTACGAAATGTAAGGGGTCCCTATCTTACGAAATGTAACTGCTTAGGGTTTTAAATTTCGTTTAAGGACTCTTTTCCGTTAAACTGTGTAGGGCTTCGATTGTAAGGTTTAAGGTTTATACTGTACACCCCAGCATGATGTAGGGGCCTTAATAATTAATTCGAACAGGGTTCTTGGGCTCCTTTATAGTCTAGTTTTAATGAACGAGCCCTAACGTAGGTAGTTATTTAGGCTTCTCTCTTACCCCCTCTGAACCCTAAACCCTAAACCCTTACTAGTGTGGTATCATCCAGAGTAAGAGCCCCTGAGCTCCCACTTAAATTGCAAAGTTCAAGGCCTGAGTCCTGCCTGAAGGACGAAATGAACCCCAAAAGGGTTTAGGGTTTAGGGTTTCGGGTTTAGGGTTTCGGGTTAAGGGTTAAGGGTTCAGAGTTTAGGGTTTAGGGTTTAAGGTTTAGGGATTAGGGATTAGGGTTTAGGGTTTAGGGTTCAGGGTTCATAGACCACATAAAAGCTCGTAGTATAAGGCTATAGGGCTCCTACTTATAAGGGTCATTTGGTCCCCAAGGTACTCATCCCCCGGAAGAGGCCCAGAGGGCATCGGGGGGATCGGCTCCCGAGCTGTCGTTAGTTTGTTGTTGTTCTTAGGGTTTAGGGTTTAGGGTTTAGGGTTTAGGGTTTAGGGTTTAGGGTTTAGGGTTAGGGTTTATGGGTTCAGGCTCTAGGGTTTAGGGTTAGGGCGTAGGGTTTCGGGTTGAGGAATTAGGGCCTTTTCTGTCGCTTGCGCTCCAAAGCCCATGTTGGGGCAGGCTTCCGCTCTACACTACGTAGGCTCAGACGTCACCCAGTATGCAATCATGACCATCACCCTCTCGTTGCAGTAGCTTTACTCCCCTTTTAGGGTTAAGGGCTTAGGGTTACTTACGATTTAGGGGTTAGGTTTCTCCACGATTTAGGGTTTAGGGTTATGTACGGATCAGGGTTTAGGGTCATTCAGGGTTTAGGGTTTAGGGTTCTGGTTACCCAGAGGGTCCTTATACACTACCATGATGGAGTAGTAGTAGTAGTAGTAGTAGTAGTAGTAGTAGTAGCAGTAGCAGTAGCAGTAGCAGTAGCAGTAGCAGTAGCAGTAGTAGTAGTAGTAGTAGTAGTAGTAGTAGTAGTAGTATATCAGTATATCACCCAAAGGCTCCATTATGGTTCCTTTTTGTGGTTTATACTTGGGATCCAATAAGGTAATCCTAAAAGGAGCTACTTTGGAGTCTAAGGGTATGGAACAGCAGGCTTACAGCATGAACCCCAAACGTGCCACACCCCAACGCTAAGCCATATCCTCAACTCTAAACCTAAAGACCCTGGCCCTAAAACCTAAGCCCTGCCTAAACCCCAAACCCCAAACCCTAAGCCCAAAGCCCTAAACCCTCAACCCTAAACCCCTAAACCCCTAAACCCTAAACCCCTAAACCCCTAAACCCCAAAGCCCTGTAAGCAGATCCCTAATCCTTACGTGCTAGTCCGTAGACGTATCTTCGCCTCCAGCAGCGACCTCGCCCGAGAAGACGAGCGCTTCACTCCTGCAGGGCTTCGGGTTTAGGGTTTAG